GGCATGTGCCACCATGCCCAGCTAATTTTTGTATTTTTAGTAGAGACAGGGTTTCACCATGTTGGCCAGGCTGGTCTCGAACTCCTGACCTCAGACAATCCACCTGTGTTGGCCTCCCAAAGTGCTGGGATTACAGGCATGAGCCACCATGCCCAGCCTACTTAACTAGTATTTTGTTGAGGATATTTGCAGCTATGTTCATGAGGGATATTGGCCTATAATTTTCTTCTTTTTATAGAGTCCTTGCTGGTTTTGGTGTGAGGTTTAGGCTGGCTTTATGAGTTAGGAAGAGTTTCCTCCACTTCAATTTTTTGTAATAGTTTGAAAAGAATTGGTACTAATTATTTTATAAATGGTAGGTAGAACTCAGTGGAGAAGCCATTTGGTTCTGCACTTCCCTTTGTTGGGAGACTTAAATTACTGATACCATCTAATTATTTATTATTGTTCTGTTTGGGTTTTCTATTTCTTCATGATTTAGTCTTGGTAGGTGGTATACGTGTCTTGGAATTTATCTATTTTTCCTAGGCTATCCGATTTGTTCATGTATGCTTGTCCACAGTCATCTATTATGATCCTTCTTACAGCTGTAATGTCTTATCTTTCATTTCTGATTTTGAGTCTTCTTGTTTTTAGTCTAGTTAAAGGTTTATTGATTTTGTTTATCCTTCCAAAAAACCAACTCTTGGCCAGGCACAGTGGTCCACACCTGTAATCTCAATACTTTGGGAGGCTGAGGTGGGAGGATCACTTGAGCCAGGAGTTTTTTGAGACCAGCCTAGGTAACACAGTGAGACCCTGCCTCATCCAAAATGAAACGAAACAAAACAAAAAACAGTAGCTGGGCATGGTACCATGCCCCTGTAGTTCTAGCTGCTTGGGAGGCTGAGGGAGGAACCCTTGAGCCCAGAAGGGAGAGGCTGCAGTGAGCAGTGATTGTGCCACTGCACTCCAGTCTGGGTGACAAAGCAAGAGCCTGTCTCAAACAAAACCCTCTTAATTTCACTGATTTTTTAAAATTATTTTTCTAGTTCTAGTCTCTATTTCATTTATTTCTGCTTTGATATTTATTATTTTCTTCCTTTAACTAACTCTAGGCTTAGTCTGTTCTTTTTATAGTTCCTTAAGTTGCTATGCCAATAGGTTATTTGGAGTTTTTCTTCTTTCTTGATGTAGGACTTCATTGCTATAAACTTTCCTCTTAGAACTGCTTTTGCCCCACACACCATAAATGATATTTTTATGGGATGTTTCCATCTTCATTTGTCTCCAGATATTTTTAAATTTTCCTATTTCTTCTTTGACCATTGGTTGTTTAGGAACATGTTGTTTAATTTCCACAGATTTCTGAATTTCTTAAAATTCCTATTACTGATTTCTAGTTTCATACCATTGTGGTCAGAAAAAATATGATTTTCAATCTTAAATTTGTTAAGACTTGCTTTGTGGCCTAAATATGGTCTATCCAGGAGAATGTTCAATGTGCACTTGAGAAAAATGTGTATTCTCATGCTGTTGAATGGAATGTTCTGTGTATGTTTGTTAGGTCCATTTGGCCTAATGTGTAATTCAAGTCCAGTGTTTACTGATTCTCTGTCTGGAAAATGTGTCCCTTGTTGAAGTCCCCTATTATTGTATTTCAGTTTCTCTCTTCAAATCTATTAATATTTGCTTTATAGATTTGGGTGCTCTGATAATGGATGCATATATATTTACAACTGTTATATGTTCTTCATGAATCCATCCCTTTATTATTATATAACTTTGTCTCACTTGACAGTTTTTGGCTTAAAGTCTATTTTATCAAAGTACAGCTACTCCTGCTATCTTTTGGTTTCCTTTGCACAGAGTATCTTTTTTCCATCTTTAATTTTCAAGCTACGTGTGTCTTTAAAGGTGAATTAAGTCTCTTTTAGGTGGCATATAGTTGGATCTTATGTTTAATCCAATCAGCCACTCTCTTTTGATTGGCAAATCTAATCTATGCACATTCAAGGTAATTATTTATAGGTAAGGACTTACCACTGCAATTTTGTTCCTTGTTTTGTAGATCCTTTGTTCCTTTCTTCCTCTCTTGCTTTCTGATTAGATGATTTTCTCTAATGGTATACTTTTATTCCTTGCTTTTTATCTACCTAATTTCTTATTTTGTGGCTACCATGAAGCTTACATAAATCATCTTATTTATTTTTTTGAGATGGAATCTCGCTCTGTACCCCAGGCTGGAGTGCAGTGGCATGATCTCGGCTCACTGCATCCCTTGCCTCCCAGGTCCTGGTTCAAGTGATTCTTCTGCCGCAGTCTCTCAGGTAGTTGGGATTACAGGCACGCACCACCATTCCCAGCTAATTTTTGTATTTTTAGTAGAGACAGGATTTCACCATTTGGCCAGGCTGGTATTGAACTCCTGACCTCATGATCCGCCCTCCTTGGCCTCCCAAAGTGCTAGGATTACAAGCGTGAGCCACCGCGCCCGGCCAACATCTTAGTTTATAACAGGCTATTTTAAATTTATTACAACTTTGATTGCATAAAGTTCTGCTTTTACTTCACCCCTCCCACATACATTTCATGTTTTTGATGTCACAATTTACATTTTTATACTGAATACTCCTTTTGCCTTAGTTCTTTACACTATAAAAGATGAAGGGGAATAACTGAGTTTTGCTTTGAGAATATCAAGTTCCTTTGGCCTTAATTTTAGGCTCAATGAGAAATCTTTTGATACATAACTTGGGGCAGGAAGCATCACTGGCTCTGGAATCACAGCTCCGAATTCCGCCTGCTCTGCTAGCTCTTCAGTATGATACCTTGGTGAAATTACTTATCACCTCTGAGCCTCAGCTTTCTCACCTGTAAACGGCTTGAGACTGTCATATAGCTGTGGCAGGCATCCAAACAGTGACGACTTAATGGTTTAACCACTTCCCTCAATTTTATATCCTGGCACCTTCATCAGGAAGCAGTACCCTTGTAGCCCAGGTCTTGGGAGAAGTTATATAATAAAAGCTAAGCTTGCATTTCTGGGGTATTTGCCATGTGCCTGAATGGCACACAGCAAACATTTACATGTATTGTTTCATCTTCATAACAGTTGTGTTTATAAAGAAACAGAGGATTAGAGAGGTTAACTGATTGTTGATCATAGGTAGTACATGGCAGAAACAAGATCTATTTTCTATTTAAGGGTTAAAAATTTGTATTGGCTAGGTGCAGTGGCTCATGCCTGTAATCCCAGCACTTTGGGAGGCCAAGGCAGGTGGATAATCTGAAATCAGGAATTTGAGCCCAGCCTGGCCAACATGGTGAAACCCTATCTCTACTAAAAATTAAAAAATTAGCTGGGCATGGTGGGTGGGTGTAATCCCAGCTACTCGGGAGGCTGAGGCAAGAGAATCACTTGAACCTGGGAGGCGGAGGTTGCAGTGAGCCGAGACAGCACCACTGCACTCCAGCCTGAGCAGCAAGCGTGAAATTGTCTCAAAAAATAAAATAAAATAATAAAAAAAAAATTGTATCTAGTTTATGTATCTATTTCCTGTGGGTTTGGTTAGTATCAGTCCATGAGAGCCTAATCATTCCAGTGCGCTGAGAAAAGGATCATCTGAGTATGTAAGGTGGAAACCTAGGTCTTCGGGTGTGGTGACCTCCTGTGGTGGTTAGTTCAATGATACATGAAGTCCCATAGCCAAAAACTGAGTTAAGTACTATTCTCGTTGGCAGCCCAGCCCCTGTCACAGGAGCATTTGGGTGGCTGGGCTGCTCTGAATAGAGCTGACGATGGAGCTGCTTATCTGAATTAAGGAGGGTTGTCATAGTCAGGATTCCTGACTTTGAGCTAATAAAATTGTGACAACAGGGCTCTAAATGTCCTCCATGACTTGACAGACTGAGCCAGCCAGCCAGGAGACCTGCAGAACTTAAACACAGAGCATTTATTTTTAGAAAGGGCAAGTCTTATACTCAAATAGGTTTTAACACGAACACATTAAAAGGGAGATGGCCCTGGCCCCCACAGTGTCTCTGCTCTCTCCAAGGCATGTTTCAGTTATACTGCAGCCTGGCCAGCCACTGTTCCCTGTAGAAGTTGAAGTTCCTCTGTATTATCCAGCAGCTGGAGGAGACGGAGTACAGCAGACTCTGGAATGCCATTTGTGTGAGTTCCATCTACTTTCTAGGCTTCAGGGGAAATGGAAAAAGTCCCAATAGGCAAAATGTGTTTCCTAAAAAGCTGGACAGAGGTATGTGACATTCCTTTGCTTAACAGGCAAAACAAAATCAACGAGTCTGGTGAACTGACGCCATGACAACAATGTGGAGAAGACTGGGAGTCTACGCTGGGAATGGTGCTGTGGACGCTCTGGGCACAGGATCCCAATTTGGAACCTCTTCTCAGAAGCGTGGGAGGCGGTGGAGGCCAAGCCCACCAGAGGCGGGGTCTCTCTCCAGTGGCCTTGGGATCATCTCTGGTTCTCCTGGGCTAGGCTCCACGGAGTCATCAATCCTCAGTCACAGGTGGGGGAATGAGCTGCAGCTGGAAGTTCTCATTCTGGAAGATGCTGTTGAAAGCAGGAGCACTCTGCGAGCCACTGAATGGCCTATAGCTCTCGCTGCTGCGATTCTGGGAGAGTTCCGTGAGAAGAGCCAGCTGCAAAGGAAGGACACACATCAGCTAAGGTTTGTGGGGAGCAGAGGGAAGAGAGGCTCCTGAATCCACTGCTTCAGGTACATGAGAGACGGTGCTATGTTGCAGGAATAGTAACACGCACGGTCTGGATCTTAGGTCCATATATCACAAACTAGCAGTGTGACTTTGGGGCCTTAATTTCCTCATTCAGTAATGAGACTGGACTGGTTCGCTCCCAAGGACACACAAACTGTGCTCTCCCTGGCACTGGAGAGCTCTCCCACCCTGGGCTGGCCCTGCGCTGAGGGCTCCTCCAGCTGCCCCTGCTGCCGCCCTTCTCTCCCTGTGGATGTGCCCTGTGCTGAGGAGCTTGTTCTCAGCTCTGCTCATTCCAGGCTCTCCACCTTGGTGCGCTCTCCTTGGGGGTGAATGACTAATTATGACCACTGACTCTGACCTCTCTTCTGCCAACTCAAACTCAGGGGCTCCAGAGTGGAACCCCTGGATTCTACCTTCTCCTTCAAGTGAGTCCTCCCTGCTCCCAGCTTCCTTATTCCCACCAATGACATTAGCAGTACCCTCGTTCTGTCAGTGGCTCAATTCTGGAAGACCTGTCGAGGAGGATAGAAGGGTAGGAGGAGATGCTAATGTCGGCCTGTTGGGATGCTAGCACTCTGCCCCTCGGGGGGACCATCCCTTTCACCTAAAGAGGCTTTCTGCAAAAGCAGGGAGCTGGCAGCCTGGCTCTTGAGGTACCCCTGAAGGCCAGAGGAGACAAGAATTCTATACCCAAGGTCCTTAGACTTCCTGACGATTAGGGTCTTTGCCTGTTGCTTCCCAGAACCTTGTGAGTTAACTTCCACCCCACAAGCCCAGGTCAATACGGTCCCTAATAACAGCAGTTGGGACCTGTGGGACGGGCCACCATGTCCCACTACCAATACTCTAAGGGACCCTGCGCAGGCTCACATGGAGGCCAGTGAAAGCCTGGCCCATGGAGAGCTCACAGCTGAGACAAGCGGGCCATCAGACTCCTCAGGGCAGCCCTGTCTGTGTCTACTAAACACGCCAGGAGTCCGAGGGGATGTCTAACAGCCTCTCGTGACTGCATCAAGTGTCTTTCCATGATAGGTACTTTGCTAGGTCCTTGACGTGTGTTATTTCTCATCCTTCACAACATACCTCTGGGGCAGAAACTCTGCGGCCTGAGAAGTGACTTGCCCTCGGTCACCAGCAGTGAGTACCGATGTGGGATTCACCCGCCAGGCACCATGTCTTTGAGGTGCCTCCGACCTCTGGCAAAGGGTTTTTCCCTCACAGGCAACGTTGGCACAAGCTCACATGTGTCCATGTGTCACTTCTGTGGAAAACTCAGTACCAGTGGCTGTGGTAACTGGGAAGACATCTAAAGGCCCCTAAGTTCTAAGCGTCAATTTATCACAAGTAATCCAGGTCCTGGCCAGAGACACATGTATGGTGTCATTTACAACTCAGTAACTCTGACTCAAGCTCTAACTGCAAGTTACTGAGCAGGCCCACTCAAGCAATACGCCAGGGGCCAAGAGATGTCCCTTGCTCTGTCCGAGTCCACTTTGTGCCACTTCCTTTCTTCCATAACCCTCTCAGTTGCCCATCAGCCTGCGACGTTCTCTGCAATGACTGTTATGTACGATGCCTTGAACAGAATGGGCAACAGATGCTCAACTCAATGCTTTCACATTCTGACACTGTGAGGTGGGAAGATCAATTGCAAAAAAATATATATATATATATTTCCCAGGAAAAGAGGTATTTTTGTGTTCTACTTTGGTAACTTTGTGATCTGGAAATCAATGAGCCCTAAATCAGAGTTCAACAGTTCGAAGCAGAAGAACCTCCTTGGAAGGCCCCAGAAACCCAACTCTTGGGGCAGAGCTTGGCTGAGGCTGGAAAGGGATGGGGTGAGGCCAGTTCAATAAAGCTGCTGGACTGCATCCAGGAGACCCCTGGAGAAGCTTCCTGGAGTAACAACCTCTGCCCAGACCAACTCTCAAAGAAGGAACACCACTTTTTTCTCTGGCTGCCAAGTAACCTAGTAGGTTCTGCCTAAGAATGGGGAGTGCATGAAGGGGGCCCAGGTAGAGAAGCAGAGGACACAGCAGTTTGCACAAGCTTGAGATAAGCTCAGAAACAAATGGGACCAGCTAGAATTGAGGTGTGATCTGGGGAGTGGAGAAGATGCTAGGGTTTGGACTCATTCTTTAGGTGGTGGAGATCCAGAATGTGTCGTAAACAAGGGTATGACACATTTGGGTTTAGAAAGGGTGGCCAGGCAGCAGCATGGAGAAGGGACAGAAGGGTTTCTAGCCAATCAGAAGACCTGCAGTGGCCTCCGTGAGTGATGAGGCGGCCCCACTGGGGGTAGTGGCAAAAGGGGATTAGTAGAGAAGATCCCACAGGATGTCCCCAGTTGGGTGGAAGGAAGGGTAGGGGTGAGCCTAGTGCTGTCAGGTCTCTGCTCTGGGTGGCTGGAAGACAGAGGTGTCGTTCCTGAGGCAGGCACCAGGTGCAAAGAACAGGTCGAGAAAGCGATGAGTATGCTTCTGAAGTGCCTGGGGGACACCTGGTCTGATGTGGTGGCAGCGACTGCTAGAAGCCCTCCAGTCTGTGCTCTTCTTCCCCAGTTAGAGTAGACCAAGAATTGTAGCCTGAGGTCTTTTGGAATAAAATTCAATTTTCCCAGTCATTGCAGTGAGGCATGGTCATGGGTCTAAATTCTAGAGAGTGGAGATAAGTGGAAGCAACCAGGTTGAACCACAGAAGTTTAAGTCACGTGCTAAGGAAGGCAGAGCACAAGACACACGAAAGCTGGAGGGAGGTGCGTGGATGTGCCCTGGCTGGCTGCAGTTACACTTCTCTCTTGCTTAAACCACTACTACTTTGCATTTGTCTTTCATGGCCAAAACTAATTCAACCAATGCAGATGCCCAGGAGGGTCTAGGGCTTCGGACAGATTGGGCACCTATCCATATCCTAAGCAAAGCCCTCCTGGGATCAGCCTTCTGGCCTGCTCTCTCTGGAGGGAGGTCAAACACAGAAGCCCTTCTGTGTCCTCACAGGTCATGGTAGGTAAGGGACAGACAGCTTTCTACTTCCTTTGCTCTCTTTGCCAAGCTCGGAGTGCTCCCTGGGGCCAGGGTCTGTTGTCCATGTAGCCATAACAGGGATGCCAGGGCACCTTCCAGGTTAGGAGGAGGCTAGAAGGAGGTTCCAAGACACTGCCTTTCTAAAGCAGTAAATTATAAATAGGGAAATGAAAATATAAACAACCACACAAACATTACCCTGGAGCTTCCTCGGTAGAGACGGCAAAGCTGATCAAATGCTTGGATTTGCTGTGGATCCAGAACAGGTTCTGAGGTTCCCTGAAGAATAAAAACTGATACGATTAACAACATCATGTGGCTAGGCAGCCTCTGAATGTGCTCTACACGATGCTGAAGCAGAATATGGTGCTTCCTTCATTCTTCTGAAAACAATCCATGCTACCAGCAATTAGTGACATATATGCTGAACATGAGTTAGAATTGGCACGTCCCCTAAGAACTCTCCTTGGTGTGTGGCTGCAGGTTGACCTGTCTGTGGACCCTTTTCCCAAAGGAGTCGCCAAATGTCCCGTATGTACAGGTTCCTTTCAGGTTTCTTGATCCCTCTTTGGCATCACTATGCAGAGCTAGTTAGTTCCTTCCAGCCTTGCATTCCCATGTCCATCACTTCACATGGCCAGCAAAGATACCCCTTTTCTCTGTCTTGGTAACAGGAGATGCACTGTCATTTAAAAATCTCATCCTCTCCCTGTTTCATTATAAAGCTGGTAGCCACCTATGGGGTTGCAAGATTCATCTGCTGCTTTTGGGAAAAGGGCCGGTCCAGCCTGCTCTTACAGCAGCCTTGTTTTGTTCCACCTGTTACTGTGGTGGGACCTGCCAAACTGCGGTTTTTCTCTCAGTGGACCTGATCCAACTCACATGCAGAGAGAAGAAATGGAATCCTGGGGGAGGCGGCCATAGGTTTTGGAGTCAGAGGAGAATCTGGATACTAGTTCTGACAGTAACCTGCTATGTAACTTTAGGCAAGTCACCTCACTTCTCTAAACCTCAGCTGCCTCGCCTGTGGGAAGGAAGGGGTAATGCTTACCTTTTGAGATTACCAAAAATTAAATGAGATATATATTTAAAGTGTCGCCTGCCTAGTACCAGGAGAGGGTTCAGTACACACTAGCTTTTCTTACAATTCAGAGATACCCATAGGTAAAAGTTGATTTCAGAAGCATTTTTGTTTATGTATAAGATTAATTGAAAGACGTTTTTCTTTGCCCTATATTATGAACCTGTCCCAAGCGTCTGCACTGTACAGGTTGGTGGGTAAGAGCCTGCACTCCAGAGTTCATCAGCCTAAGCCCAAACCCTGGCTTTAACAATTATGAGCAGCACAATCTTAGGCAAGGTCTCTGAGGTGGGTACTTTTTGCTTGCTTGTTTGTTTTTGCTCACATGGGGATAATGACTATAGCTATACCACATAAAGTGGCTATGAAGATTCAAGAAGGTAATGCACGCAGAACACATAGTAGATGCATGGGACTCTGCAGGTTCTCACTGAGCACTACTAACTAGAGAGCACAGGAAGGCCCACAGGTACCACGCACAGGGCCGGTCTCCAGGGGACAACGTCATGTGGCCCTTGTCCTGATGTGGCTACAGAAACAGAAAGGAAGGGGGCATCAGAGCATCATGCACAGGCAAAACTGGGTAATGAAGGAGGCTGGGGGATGTGCAGGAGTGGGTATGCGGAGCGTGAGAGGGAAAACTTCATGGAAATGAGAGCTGCTACGGTCAGCTCCCTGTCTGTCTTGCTCACCAGTGCCCAGTACTGTGCTTGCACAGAGTAGCCACAGAGTCATCATCTGCTGATCAAATGAAGGGATGGGAGGGCTGACATGCAGATTTCTGATTTCTTACTATTTATCACTGGAGTTGTGACCAACCCTCTGCCATGCAGTAAGAACACAGGGCAGGGCTTCTGACACACTTGGGCTCAATCTGGACTCTGCCCAAGACTAGGTGAGTGGCTTTAGGCAAGGAATTTAGCTTCTCTCAGTCTCAGTTTCTTTATCTATGAAACTCTACTTTGCAGAATTGTTGTGAAAATTAGACATCATATATGGGCTTAGCATCTATTTGATGCTCAATCAATGGCAGTAATTACCGTGATTGTGTTGTTTATACTCCCAGAGAGAAGTGCCCCCTAGAAAGAACAGTGGGATGAAATCAGGAAACATGGGCTCCAATCCTGTTACCTGCTCCCTGTATAACCTGAGGAGGTCACATCTCTCCTCTGAGTCTATGTTCCAACTGATTAAAGGGCAATGCCACCCCGGCCACACTCCACCATCCAGGGAAGACGTGGGCACCACGAGATTAACAGGCATTTAGGGCATGGAAAGTTCAAGAAAATTAGTAATGTATACTGAGCCTAATCATGGCTTTTATCTTTTATTGCATATTCGGAAGCAAATTAGGGGTAATGTCACAAAGACACATGGCAGCCCTGAAGAGAAATAACAGTTTCCATCTACAGATGCCAAATTAGGGTCAGACAAAAAATAAAGGAGGAGCAACTAAATATGAACATAATCTCTGTTCACATCTAAAAACATAAAAGTATTCTCAGACCACTAAATCCCCCAGGATAAAACTGGTTAGGAGTGATTTTCCAATTGGAAAGACAGAAAAATGCATTTGCTGCTGTCTGTTAGAGCAAATTTCTTTCTTTCCATGTAACAAAGTCCAGTGTTAAGAGCTAAAAATTAAACTGTAGCGAGTGTGAGAGGAAGAAACAGTGGCCACCCTGGAAATGACCTTGTAGTACTCAGCATTAAAGTAAATCCAGTGGAAAGCGAGGTCCTGATGGTCTCTGAGAGCCCAGGGAGGGGTGTTGGGTTAACACGGCTGCCAGCACAGTGCGAAGCTCAGTGACTCACAGAGGTGAAAGTGGGAGCAGTAACCATATCCGCTAGAAGGAAGAAAACAAACCGGGGCTCTCAGGATCCACAGACCTCTTTTTTTCTTTTTTTTTGAGACAGAGTCTTGCTCTGTCGCCCAGGCTAGAGTGCAGAGACATGATCTCAGCTCACTGCAACCTCAGCCTCCCAGGTTCAAGCGATTCTCCTACCTCAGCCTCCTCAGTAGCTGGGATTACAGGTGCGCACCACCACGCCTGGCTATTTTTTCTATTTTTAGTAGAGATGGGGTTTCACCATGTTGGTCAGGCTGGTCTTGAATTCCTGACCTCAGGTGGTCCATACGCCTCGGCCTCCCAAAGTGCTGGGATTACAGGCATGAGCCACTGTGCCTGGCCACAGACCTCTTAACAAACGTATCAAGCTCTGATATAGGAAAACAACCATGATCCACTGCCACCTTACAGACCAAGTTCTCAAGAACAGGGCTGATTCTACTCCTAGGGATATTGGACACGAAGCCTTCCAAATCATACTCGAAGACACAGACTGTCACAGAAGTCTGAGCTCTGCTTGTTCATTTCTTACTCTCTACAACTACTAAGATCCTGAAATCAAAACCCTAACATTTCCTTTCCTAATTATCTTTCCACACTAACACATGAGAGGATCAAATCATTGAGAGAGACACGGGCCACTCTGTATAATTCATAACACAATCATGTCTTTTCGGTATTCTAGAAGCCTCCTACAGGCGCTTCTGTAATTTTCTGGTGGCAATGAAGGTGGAGATGAAGTAGAACGAGTGGAATGAGAAGCATATTTCCCCCTTTTCTCCCTGTATGCCCTCCACCTCACTTTCAAATCTTTCCCTATATCTGTTATAGCCTCAGCCAGTCTTTTGCCACCACTTAAGCTGTTTCACACTGGAGGTCCTTAATATTTAAAAATTTTGCCTAAATCAAAGTTTGGCTTCAGAGATAAAGGAAAAGCCACATACATACCTCCTTCCCCTCTGCAAACAGGAAATACTTTTTCTAAATTCCCACCCACAACACAGTTTGCTCTCAGATTGAACCTGACTCCTCATAGCCCCTCATTCTCTAATGCCTCAAAACTCTCAGTAGGTCACAGCTAATAATGAATTAGGTAATGAAATAATACGACAGGCAGACTAGCTGCTAAGCTGCCTAGAGAGAGGAGGGGAAAATGTGGCAGAACGTCTCTGCAGGAGATTCTTTTATAGTGGTCATGACCCTAGAATGACCAGCTCTAGGGGAGGTGAGTGCTTGAGGCCACAGAGACAGACTGAAAGGCTAACTGAAAAATAACCTTAAAAACCCAAGCCCTTCAATACCACAATTAAAAAGAAACAACATGGTGACCGTTCACAGCACAGGGAAAAACGCTGGTTTACGTTTTCTCAGATGCGACACAGAGGAACAATCCTCCCTCCCCGCTGCAGCAGCTCGCTTTATCGATCGTGTAATGACCATGTGCCAGCCACTGTCACAAGTACTGCGCGTGGATCATCTCATTTAATCATCTCAAAAACCCTACGAGGTAGGTACTTTTCTTATTGTTATTTTACAGGTGAAGAAACTCAGGTCCTGGGATTCAGTGATATGCCAGGTCACTCTGGCTGGTGGCGGAGCCCAGATCTGAATTGGGACAGCCCGGTTCCAGAGGTGCCTTTCATCTGCCATTCTCTCGGTAGCGGTCTGAAAGAAGCCTGAGGAAAGTCACTTTTTCTTTTTTTTTTTGACATGGAATTTCACTCTTGTTGCCTAGGCTGGAGTGCTGTGGCACGATCTCGGTTCACTGCAACCTCTGCCTCCCAGGTTCAAGTGATTCTCCTGTCTCAGCCTCCCAAGTAGCTGGGATTACAGGCACATGCCACCATGCCCAGCTAATTTTTGTATTTTTAGGACAGACGAGGTTTCATCATATTAGTCAGGCTGGTCTTGAACTCCTGACCTCAGGTGATCCGCCTGCCTCAGCCTTCCAAAGTGCTGCCATTACAGGCGTGAGCCACCATGCCCAGCCGACTAAGTCACTTTCAAGGGCCCCAAAAGGTTATGTGAGGAGCAGTGTAGGACTCGCCTGGATCAATCTGCTTAATCAAGCTCCTGTGAAACTGATGGACACCTGCCCTCCTTCTGGGGATCCTTCACGATTCTGCTTTCATTTCAAAACTCATCCCATCATTCTATAAAGTATAAACAAAAGACCCAGGAGAGAGGAGAGAGCAGCTAATGGAAATAAATATAGCTAGCTATTAGTGTTCTGCTTAAAAATGACTTTGGAAGCCTAGACCAAAGCCCAGTGTTAAGAACTAAGCTTCGTTCTCCAGTGAGACACTTCACATACAACGTAATGACAGTTTTGGGTACACACTAGGCAT